AAAAGCGTGGAAAAGTGTTGCCGGTTCCTTCTCGGCGAGATATAAAAGCGAAAAGTAGCAGATTTATGATGTTTTCTCACCTCCTGCAACCGGGCGAAGGTAGTGTAGTGGAAAGTGGCGCTTCTTACCGCGCACATGGAATCAAATCTTAGATAATATGCCGTCCCTAAAGACCAAATGTGTCATCCCTCCATGGTCGGCTAACCAGAACCTGTACCAGACTTGTCTGAGAGGGGGAACCTGCGATCTCTGATGATTGATCAACGCCGAACGCTTTATCTTATCCTTTTATCCCGAAACCTCGCTATCCCAGCATCCCCCCACGCCCCTACTACTCCTCGACCGTAACTCACCCTGCACCATCCTCCTTTTGGCAATGATTGAAATCTCATCATTGTTCGAAATCGTTGGAACAGCCCTTACTCAAGGAACAACTACGCTAGAAATAACAGTTCAGGACATGTCAAATGGGAAAGTGAGATGCAGCAGTGCAAAGAGTGAAAAATTCAAACCAGCTTTCAAGTCCAGGTACGCTTTCCCGCACACCGAAAGTGCAAGCATAACAATCGAATATCGCATAGCACGTTATGCTATGTTGAAGTGGTGTCATGGTAGGAAAAGGATAGAAAGAAGTGATGATCAAAACAGTAGTCGAAGAATAAAAAAACGAAAATAGAACGAAACATAAAATACCACTAAGCGTGCGGTTTCACGAGGAACGAAATATGAAGTTGGTAAAACGGCTTAATCATGCCAATAAATACGCGATTTGGAAAGTGACAAAAGCAGCGTGAACCGCTCTAAGACCCTTTCACATAATAAGAATATAAAAATATCAATTCCTGAAGAAAAAATAGAAATGTGGAGGTAACACCAAGAAGGTGACCTGAACCTTCAGATTTGCCTGTTCAAAGTTCAAAAAAATAGGTTCATTGCTTTGTGCATAAAGTTACCACGAACAAATGAGCAGTAAACCGTGAGATCGATATTGAAAGCTTTGAGCGTAGTTATGGTTCAAATCCTTTAACAAAAGGTACGCCGACCCACACATCCCTGCGATAATTGATGTACTGTTGACCTGAAAAAATCTTTGCTTTTCCACACTGCATATAATAGAGAGAGGATAATACCAGGAAAACCAGCGGATACGGAAACGTTTAGCGCCCACACAAAACAAGCGGTTCACCTCCAAAATGGGCTGGGGAAACAATGAAGTTTGCGTACATTAGATGAAGGAAGCGTTCCTTTGGCGACATACGACATTTCCAAAATCTTGTGTTAATAAATTCTTCTTTGAGCTCTTTTTTTGCCGAAATGAGACTTTTTTTCTTTTTTGTCATTACTTTGGAAGCAAGCAGTTCTAATCTGATAAAGTCGTTGTAAATCCATTGCAGAAAATAAGTTTTCTTATTTGCGACGAATTTAAGGGTGTCCCATAAATATTGCACCACTTTTCTTTACTTGTAACTTCTTTCAAAATGTATGTATTCAAGAAGTTTTATAGAAATTTTTCCAACACATTTACATATTTGTGGGGATGATACCCATCGGATACGATCCCTTGTTGTTGTCAGTATTGCTTCAAACGCAACTCTACTGTGAGCCCGCATGGCATCCTGGGGTGTTCTCTTAAAATAACTTTACAGAGAAAAGGCTCCGGCTCATCCGTGTAGATGTAATGTTTAGTGCAGGCTTTGCCCCCTAACATATCCCTTTTAGGATCGGACGTCAGCCTATTCCGTAATAGTTAGAGTCACCAAGAGGCTTACTAGGGCGCACCACTTATTTAGGGAGGCTAAGGAAATCGCAAGAGAGAGTGCATCAACTGTCTAACAGTGCTCTCTGAACAAATTTTGCCTCCTATGCAGAAGCTGGGTCCTATTGAAAAGATCATCACCTCCTCAAAGTGGCTAGATACCTCACTAACAGATGGTGCACCGAAATGTCCCTTGACTCGGTCTAGTATCAAGCTGTATTCCTTTGTAAACAGGCAGTGATGGTGAGCGAGCGGTAGTTGAGACCCCCGTCCAGACCACGATAAGGTTCGATTGCTGCCTGTAGCAAATATCCCTTCCACTCTCACTGACTTCCCTAAGACCTCGTGCGTTCATCCCCGGAATTTGAAGATTGTAGCTCTGCTCCATGTGAGAAATTTTGTCGTCGATGAAAACGATGCCCGCGTGATTGGCATTTTCGGCCCTCGACATCAGCTCTTTGAAGTTTTTGTCTCTGCCGTGCTCCTCCCGTTGGATTAAGCAGTGGTGTTTATGCAACTTATAACGGACTGTGAGCAGTTGTTATCCGACAACTCACTACATGGCTGTAAGAAAGGCCGGCGTTCTGGTCATCTTTCTCGAGCCAACCTGGGTATTGCAGTCGTTTCGCTTCATAATGCTTTTCCTGAGATCCAAGATGTCGGAACTTGTGGGGCAGTCGCAACAAAGACTACTTTCATTGCTCTTTCATCCAGTCCACAGTAGGCCGTGGAGCGTGTAAAAATCCAAAGAAGCGCGACGTTCATCACCAGATGTCCGTCCTTACTGCATGGGAGATTAGGACCTCTCTCGAGTATTAGGTGCACCATGAGATGTACAACGAAAGGTAAGCTGTGGAATTTGGCATGGTCATTGACAAGAGGATAGGGAATTGAAAGGTCTGTCAACCTCGGAAGAAAAGCTATAAACAGCTACAGAAATTGAGCTCAAAATTTGGTGCAATATTTATGGGACACCCTGTACAACCAAAGTTTCATATTCGGTAAAATATCTGTATAGTACCCGAACAAAATATAATGGGTCAAACATCAGAAGAACAGAAGTGGTGATTCTTTGCCATTATAGTACAAAAGTGCAGGTAGTTCATGCTACAAAGCACCACAGAAGGCGCCGTTTCCTATTAATAAGTATTAACCAAGATGCGAACCCACCGAAAAAGTTAATCAAATCTCTCTCTTCGTCGTAAATCCGTTCATTGAAAAAATGCCAACTGACGTAGGCGTATCCACACAAACACAACGGATTGCAGAGAATGAGTTGTGTGCCTATGCTCCACATAAACCAGCCTAGAAAAAATTCAATGAGCTCCATCCAGACCATTTGCTAATGAATATTAAAGATCTAGCCAAAGCAAACCTGTATAGCCAGGATGCCGAAGAAAACCATAGATGCCGGTCGTCACAAGCCGATGATCCGGACGCTTTGATAACGCCAATCGATGCGTGAAACCATTTCCTGCGTGTAGCATTGCAAGTTTGCGAATAACTTCACCGCATAAGCATGCTGCCACTCCCAGCATACTAATCGAAGACACCTTGAGAAATGGGGCAAGGTATACCTGTAAGGTGGGTTCACAACCATTAAATTCCTTTTATTTTGATTCAAAAAACGCTCTTCCAGTAGGGGAGGGGGCATCTAGCGTAATAGTTTTCGACAACTACATAAATTCCAATTTTTGCAGCGAGAAGCGTGAGAGAGAGTGAGTGAAGGCAAGATGGTTCACGCACTCGAAGCTTCCTATTCCTGTAAATCAGGATTACTGAAGATGATACAAACTACTGCATCACAAACCCCCTCCCCCATATTGAAAGAGTGCCCTAAAAAATTCTTTCTATTTTTCCAGTAATTCATACAATTGATAACAGCACCTCATTTAACCGAAGCACAAACCTCTAGAAAAAATTCTATCCAACTTGCCAAGGCAGCAATCCAATATGCTACCGAATGATTTAGCAAGAATGAATCCGACTGGAGTGATCGACGATTTGAAATCGCCGTGAAGAAAAATTCGGAAAAATGGAAAACTGAGAAAACGAACGAATAGCAGCAAAACAACGCTATGGGCGACGCTTTCCAATAAAGATATAGAGCAACTGATGATCCACTCAACTTAAAAAAAAATTATCAGAGGGAAAAATTGATCGGTCTAAACGCCTAATTCACCTACCAGACCAAGAAACGTCGCCTGTGCACCACAAATAGGCTTTTGCCCTATATATCGTCCAGTGTAATAAGATGCAGGGATACAGATAGCTATCATTAGAATCAAGAATATTGCTCCTAAATACCACGAGACGAGCGCAATAACGAAACTTCCAGCGAAGCAATTGATACTGCCTCGGAATTCGCCATCATTTCGATATTGGCGAGATAACGATGTCCATGTAATTGGCATCTGAAATAACATCCCAGATTTAGGTGATGGACCTGACTTTTGACTTTTCCACCATGAGTGAACAGCCAATGACTGGAATGCAGGATCTACAACAGGATCCGATATACGAGAGTAGGCGAATAAAATAAATGACTGAAAACCATTGGAGTGCATAAAGATGATGGGGAGTAGCTCATACAACTTTTCCCTAGTCACAGAGCTGTTTTACCACATAATTGGTTGTTTGAAACCGTAGGAGAACAGAATCACTCAAAATGCCGACTAATCAATATATTCTTATCCCTAGCGTCATCCGCCTACTGGAATCGAATATGGATGCTTTTTCAACCATCATACAGCCCTTAGTACGCTTCTAACTTTTCTAAGATGCGCATTGACTTTGATTCACTTTTTTCTTCACACCTGACTGGAGATCTTCCTACCTTTTGTTTTAGACCATAATTTACCCACATTTGACTGCAGTTTGTTTGATTAATGTGATCAAGGAATTGTTGTAGCGCACCTAAGCGTGCACCAAATAAATAAAATAAAAAGTAAATATTCCTCTCTGTCATAACAGTACACCAAATGGGACGCGATTGGCCATGCTGGGAAGTCTGGGAAATGAAGAGTAATTTTAACTACGGGGAAGGCTACGAACAATCATTTCTGAAAAAAAAAACACATTATTCCCCGCAAACAGCCCTGCTTCCGAATCATGCGTGCAATAAAATAGATTCATGTTGCGTGGGCGTGATTCGGAGAACTAGATTCGGAGCAAATGTATGAAAGCCATGTTTCAGCCAACAGTGGAGAGGGGAAGAGGTGGTCGAGTTAGAAAATGCAAAAGATTGAAGTGGATTGTAATAACATATCATTCCACCAACACGCATGCAGCGGATCGTCTAAAATGAAGAGCGGAAGATGGACATTGCTCTGATGGATGCCCATTACCGCAAGCCGACATCATACTGAGTAATCGCTTCTGATCAAATTCTACCGAAAGTGAGAGCAGCACACGTTGATGAATCATCAAGGTGATGATCGGCTGATGAGTGACTCAAGGCAGGGAAACAAAAAATAGACTAGTTACTTCGGCTTTAGCGCCCGAGGTTGGCATCAACCTTATTCGGCTAGTGTTTTTTACGTTTCGGATGTCATGAAGAAACTGAGGAAAATGAGTTAAGCACTAAGTCGTCACCAGCTAACCTTGTTAGAGACCGAGTGCTATAAGTCACCCTTGCTTTGCTCAGAAAAACTAAATCCGTTGAACCCGTGAAACATTAACCAGAGAGGTGGGCGAGGAGGAGTAATACAAGCATTAGTAACATTAGTAACAATGACTATAATGGCAATCAGTTTTAGAGGTAAATAATAAGATGGCAACGTATGTCTTCTCAAAGTTTCAAGTTGCTTACGCAGGCGGCAGATGTGCTGCAAATAAACCGGCGAGCAAATCCAGCAGCTGCTCAACAAAAAGAATGACTCAGCTTGAAGGTTAGTGCTGAACAAGCTGTGAGACACAACAGAAAGAAAAAAGGTGGTTTTCCGAACCTCCCGATTTTCCTTCCTACTTCGTTACACATCGATTCAGAAATACTAATTACAGGTAACCGGAGCTAGTTGTGCGGCGACAGGACAGGGATTTAGAATTTT